AATAAATATAAGAATAGGTGTATTCTTATAATACTTACAGAAGAATGTAACATCTTCCCTTTGCTCAAACAACAACACGAACCTGTGTAAGGAACGTCAGTAGTACTTCAAAGGAACCAAGTATACTTCGTTTCTTTATTTTGGTGTGGACTTATGATATTGAAGATAGACCAAATCTAAAGACATTTTTGGGATCTAAAGAAAAGAAAGCAAGCTTTTATTTTATTTGAAATTTTGTTTAGTTTTTGTAAGACTTCTAGCAGACAGAGGGCAAAGAGGCATGGACAGAACAGCCTGACCAGCAGCCTTTGTCAAATTTAGACTGACATACCCTGTGGTTCATGGTCCCCGTTATTCTGACTTGTCACTCTTGTAGGCCACTCAGTTGAGTCTCTTTGAACCTGGTTGGCTTGACATACTGTAGAAACCTAGGGTTTCATCGTGGAGCTGTTTCAGCAGTTATTCAGTTAAACCCTTCTAGTAGTGGACCTATAGTTTAAAAGGAACCTTTATTTTTTTAAAATATGTTTTTATTGATTTCAGAGAGAGAGGAAGGGAAGAGAGAGAGAGAGAAACATTAGAATCATCGATCGCCTGCCTCCTGCACACCCCCCACTGGGGATTGAGCCCACAACCCGGGCCTGTGCCCTGAACAGGAATCGAACCGTGACCTCCAGGTTCATGGGTCAATGCTCAACCACTGAGCCACACCGGCTGCTCTAAAAGGGGCCCTTATCTTCTCTGGCCTGCCAGGGACGCAGCCAACTTAATAAACAAACATGAACACAGAGAGAGAGGGTGAAGCATATATCTAGGAAACTCCTGAAGCGTTTCCTGAGCTCTGAAGTTGGGCAGACTTGAGTTTGACTCCTGGCAGCTCTGCTGGGGAAGTTTGTTACCTGTCCAGGTGACCATGTGGACATCTGTCGCGCCAGGCTGCTGTGAGGATTAAAGGAGAAAGATACAGGAACTGTAACCGTGGTGCTCTAAGGCAGGACTCTGTGGCCCTTTGCTTGCATGGATTTTGAAGTCATCGTCAGGTCACAGGTGCCGTGTTGTAGGACGTGGCGCTGTCATGGGACAGCGGCTCTTGGACTCAGTGCAGAGACTCACCAGGGAGACTTGAGTGGGGATTCTGTCCCTTCCCCCAGAGCTGAGGCCGCAGACCAGGGTGGGAGCCCAGGGATCTGCATGGTTAACGAGCACTATAGATGTGGATGAAAGTGGAGCCACACTCTGTGAAATATACTGTGGAGGTTGTAGGTAGAAGCCATTTGACCCTGAAACTTTAGTAGCTCGCATGGGTGGGTTTTCCCCACTCATCTTTTCACAGTAATCGCTGTGGGGATCTAAGCATTGACCCCAAAATTCTAATTAAGAAATAGCACTGTAAGCTTAGGTAAAGAATAGCACTGTAAGCTTAGGTAAATAAATGCTAATTTGTAGAAACGTGTTTATCACTTCCCATAAGTACTTTACCAAAGGATGAGCTTAACGTCTGAAATAAATAAAAATAGAAAAAGAAACTCCATTAGCTAGGACATTGCCTTTGAAGTTAATAAACTTGGAGTGTTTCTTTACCAGAGGAAATAAATATTTAGAGATCAGGATGTATCATGACATATCACACACAAAAAAGCATTCTGCATCGTCTGTCCTATAATTCACTCTGGGTGCCATTAATGAGAGTGCTCTGGTCAGTCCTAATTGTCACGATGATATGAGGAGATGTGATCTGTAAGGTATTCAGACCACATGGGGTAGGCTATTAGGAATCATTGTTAAGAGGATGGAGTGAGAATGGAATGAAACTAGTCAGGGCTCCGGTTTCGGTATTTCCTGTTTTTAGCGCTCGGATGTTTAAGAACACAACGTCCCTCATTTTCCCTCTGATACTTATGTGGTATAATTTATATATACATATGTATCCACATGCACACACATACGCGCACATGGAGCCACATTTGATGGCCAAAAAGGAAGAGGCCCCAAGGGCTCTTTAGTGTACAATTAATATTTTGGTTAGAAAATCAGCAGATTGTTTCAGTATGGTTATGTGTTATGACATCATATTCCAGTAAAGTTATAATGAACAGAAATTTTGTTTGTCTCTGTGGCAAACCGAAATGAGTTTTGTAATTGTCAGCAGGCCGGAGTGATTACAGTGGCGCCCACTCCCTCTCCTGTAGTTAAAGGTCTGTTTGAATTCCACTTGTGGACCTCTGTTCTCAGAAGTGTGTAATTAATTGTAAACATTTGCTCTATGGCGAAAGTTCGCCGTGTAAGATCTCAGGAGTCGATTTCTAATGTCAGGTTGTCAGTTTTAAAGGGTTTTGTGGTGGAACCAGTTTAAAATTTGCACTGAGTTCTGTAGAGGTGGGGAAAATGAATTCTGTGGGGCACAGAAATCACCTGTATTCATCCTATTTGTCCAGATTTCTGCATTAAAGGAATCTAAAATGAAACAGGTAGTAGGAGACTGCCCTTCAGTACACTAGTTATTGGAATCAAAGAGCAAAAAAGATTGTGGTTTTTAATGCTTCTTAGTCTTTGCACATTAAAAGTAGTCCGTTACTACAAGTGGCTTTTTCTTCCCTTAACTTTTTTGTATTTGCCAATTAAAAATGAAAGCATATGACATAATACACATTTAAAAGTACTTTATCTTAAAACAAATTAATAGGAAACTGCAGGCCAAGAAAATTGACCCTAAGAATTTAAACACAGCAACTCTCTCCCTCTTTTTCAGACAGGCCTTCTCCACTGCCTTGACACGGCTGATTGTCTCCTTGATGTTGTGTTGTTTCTTTCCGAACTCGGACCTGCTTTCATCTCCTTCACTGCCGTCTATTATTTCCCCTGCCTTTTGATCACTGGCATTAATCAGAACCCAGCCTCAAGCTCTCTTTCTTGGCTCCTTTTCTCTTTCTTTTTCCAGGGGCTTATCCACTCACGTGGTTTCAGTTAGTGCCCCCCACGTCTGCATGCTCAGTGCCAACCTACACCCTTGTCCGTCACCTTCAGTAAACCTTCACTGATTAGTCCCATCCGCCCACCGAGCCTTACAGGATGGGCTTTGTCCAGTTGGTCTCAGGTTGAATACAGGACATTGCTACCTGTACGTCCACTAGTCATCTAAAACTCAGTGAGTGGGGCATCGATTGGACTTCTTTTGGCTTAGAAACACGTTTTTCAGCACTGGGGTGATTTTGTACGTAATTTTCCAGCATTTTTATAAATGCACCATTCCGTCACAATCAATCCTGTGAGTTTTGCTAATTCATTTGACTTGACCTGTGAGTAACGTTTGACACAATTGACCCCTCGTTGCTTCATGACAGACTTTCCCACTTGGCTTCCAGGAGGCACATCCTGCCTGCCTGAATTTCCTCTCACTCACTCCCACAGAGCGCTCACTGCCTTGTGGCTTTAAATTCCATCGATATATTGAAGATTCCCAGATTTATTCCCACTTTGGTCTTCTTTCCTGGAGTCTAGACTCATAAATCCAACTGTCCATTTGACATCTCCATGTGGATGTCTAACGGGCCTAATAATTTCACATCTTCAAACCAGAGCTGCTGATGTCTGCCCCCAGCAGACCCCTCCCTCTTGCGATCTTCACCAACTCCATGTACAGTACCCCATCTTCCAGGTCAGAAACCCTGGGATCATCCTTAATTCTGCTGTCCTATCCTATAGCCAGTTCTTGGGCAAAACCTCTCTGTCTCCTTTTGAAATTCACACGGAATCCACTACTTCTCAGCACGTCCTCTGCTGTCACGTTCAGGCCTCTGTGGCCTTTCCTGTGTTACTATACCAGCTCCCTAATAGAGCTCTTGGCTTCTACCACCGTTCCCTTCTGTCTGTTCTTTACATAGTAGTCAGAGGATCCTTCAAAAAGGTAAGCCACGTCATGGCACTTCTCTGCTCAAAACCCTCTGGTGGCTGGCCATTTCACTCCGTAGAAGTCAGATCTGTACAGTGATTTCTAAGGAAGGCCCTAAGTGACTCTGACCGCCTCTTCTTATCTCCTGGCTTTCCCTTCCTCCCTCCCTTGACTCTGAAGAAGATGGACATCCTCTGAATTACTTGAACGTGCCTGGCATGCTGCTGCCTCAGGGCCTTTGCGCTTGACTTTGTCTCTGCTTCAGTTGCACCGTCCCAGGTGATGTGCGTGGTTTTCTCCCTCCCTTATTTTAGGTCTTTACACAGTCATCATCTCAGTGAGACCCTCCCTGGCCACCCCATCTAACACCCACCTCCCTGCCACTTCTGAACCTCTGCCTCTTTTACTCTTTAGCAGGTACCTCTAACATACCATGTTCTCCATATTTACCTTATTTCTTGCCTGTCTTCTCCATTGTAATGTATTTTTGTTCATCGTCACGTTTCCCTGTCAAATAGAAGGTGCCCCCTAAATAATTGTTGAGTTAATGAATTTTATTGCGTATCACCTTAATTGTTTTCTTGTTGATTTCTTCTAGGTTTGTTCTTCTTATACTCTCTTTATCCCCTCCTGTCTGCATCCCTGCAGCTCTCCAGTTGCTATTCTCGACCCCAGTCTCATTCAACAGAAACCTGCCAAAAATTTTACCTTAAATACATTTTATTATTACACTTTCCACCTAAGAATTGGTTTAGACTCCCTGTTTTTTCTGTTGAATCTGGTCTCCTTATTTCTTTCAAAGGGCTTGTTATCACTTTGGAGGAGTAACTCCATCTCTCTGCCCTCCCATTTCTAATCAAAACGATCTTCTGCTAAAAACACAATCATCTGCGAGTTGTCACCTAAATGCCATGCTCATCTCCGTCCTCTGTGGTGACTCCAGACCACTTGGCTCACTTCCATCAAAACCTGTCTGAACACTTGAAGTTAAAGCTTTATTAGGGTTAATAAGAGGGCATAGTACACTATATAGTTGGTATCATTTTAAACAAAACAAATCTGATTATAGAGTGTATTGAACTAACATTACTGTTTTATTTTCTTATTTTAGGTATCATTGCCCGATGCCTAAGATCTTTTATGTTCAGCTGACAGTAGGAAATAATGAGTTTTTTGGGGAAGGGAAGACTCGACAAGCTGCTAGACACAATGCCGCCATGAAGGCTCTCCAGGCGCTGCAGAATGAGCCCATTCCGGAAAAATCCTCTCAGGTGTGGTCCTGTTGCATGTGACAGTCTCTTTCTATAGGTCCCTGTGAGACGATTGAAAAGACAAATGCTTGCATTTTTACAAAGAGAAGAAATACTCTCTCCTGATAGGAAGGTGGGAGTGGTGATCTCCTTTAATTTGCTTCTTTAATCTGTAGACAGGTTACCTGTCTACTATCCTAGACCTGTGTTCCTGCCAGGGTGACCTCGCCTTTGAGAACGTCGGTTCACCTACAGAGTACGTTTCCCAGGCAGCTCAGGATCTCGGAATATGTACACGGATGGGAAATAATGTACCTTGCATTTAATGCTACATTTATTGAGCGTGGATTATGTCATGTTGATCTGGAATAGAGGAATTTAAAGTGAAGGAGATCATTATGGATTTTTCCAGTCCGACTTTTAATTTTTACAAATGAGGGTATCGAGCCTATTTTTGAGTGATTTCACCTGTTCTCATGGCTTCAGCTGCCTTCTCTATTGACTTCAAAATAGTGTCTCCAGCTGAGTTCTCCTCTTAGTTATTTCAAACCATACAGTTCCACCTCTGCAGTTCCGCACACCTGTTCCTCCTCCGAGGCTGATCTTGGTTAAGGTCAGATGGAGGTGTTTTTCTCCTGTACTCATTCATTGGGACTTTTGTCTCTTTTCCCACCACATTACAAGCCCCCTGACAGAAGGAATACTCTATCTCAGTTACTTACACTATGTCCAGCATATCTGGGGTCCTCCCTCCAGAAGTATGTGCTAAATAAGTGAATTGGTGCCAGGGCCTGACCTGGAGCTCGAGAATCCTGGTTTGCATCCTGTACTCTTTCTACAGCTTAGTTTTCATAGAAGATTAAATATCATATTACAACACCAGGGGAGGTACCGTGTGTGTGTGTGTGTGTGTGTGTGTGTGTGTGTGTTGGGGAGATAGAGAATTCTGGAGAACTGGATAAACTCAAATTAATGTATTTAGAGTAAATACTTTCACACTTAGCATTTATTCTTCTACTTTGAGGGGAACAAAGAAAAACCAAACGACAAAGAGCCTCACAGCAGCCCTTGCCTGCCGTGGTTACGGGGACCCCACAAGACCCAGCCTGGGTTTCTGATTCTTACTGTATCTTATTTAGATAGGCCCTCTTGACTGTAGACTGTATGCAAAGTTTGTTCCAAAGTGAAGACTCAGTGTCACCCTGGTTTTTGGATTTAGAATGGCGAATCCGGAAAGGAAATGGATGACGACAAAGACGCAAATAAATCGGAGATCAGCTTAGTGTTTGAAATCGCTCTGAAGAGAAATATGCCCGTCAGTTTCGAGGTAAGTGCTCACCTTCCCACCCCCACCCTGCTCCTCATTAACTTAAATAAATAAGCAAGAAGATAAAGTTAGCTGGTATGCTAGTGTCCTGAAAGTGAGGGTGCTTCCTCATGCTCACGCTCTGCCAGGAAATGACACAGGCCCTGGGGAGAATAGAACTTCTCATAATGTCATGGATTTCTGCTCATCTCTTTGGCTTTTCTGTTAAGAGCCATCTGTAGGTATGATATTTCTATTTTCATCATAAATTTTATTTTCTGAGTGTAAGTTAATTTGTAATACTCTAGAGGGTTTGTTGTTTTTAATAGGATCCAACTGAAAATATCCAAGTTAATATTCAGTGAAACATGTATTACTATCCAATTTCTTAGGTATTTGCCAAAATACGTTTAAATTTTACTAAGTCACTAAAAGTAAGCAGCTCTCCACTTTGCAACTAGATAAATATGTCACAAACATACTTATAAAATTTTGTGAAATTTAAAAGAGGAAATAATTTTTAATTATTATAATACCTCCTATATAAAGAGCTTACTCATTTTGCAACTTGAATATCTAGAAAATAGGCAAAACCCAGGAAATAAGCTGAAACAATCGTGAAGTGTCGTCCTTCAGATTGTGTGCCGTTCGTCTACGAGAAAGCTCCCACCTTTAACTCACTGGCAGGACCAACTGACCTCGGCTGAGAACCTGCCTACTTTCTTCCTAAACACAATTTGAACAAATCAGGTTATCTGATGTCACCCTGCGGCAGATTAAACGCGGCACGGTGGGGAAGGCGGGGACAGCATGCACTTGAAGGCTCATTAAGCCCAGCAAGAAGCAAGAAGTGATAGGGACAGTGTGGAAAACCAGTCTAAGTCACTGCATATACTCAGAAACTATCGAATCTGGGGCCTTTAAAGGCTACAGTGAATAGGAACAGTTTTATCAGTCTTAGAAGTCCTTGGTGGCTTCAATATATATTATAGAATATTTGATGTTCAAATGGTGATCTAATGCCAGCAATAAAAGGTTAAATATTTGGTATTCTCTATTAAGTCAGTACAGTATATAGTTTTGTTTTGTTTTTTAAATTCAGGAGGATGTCTAGCAAAGTGGTTAAAATAGTTTTGGTGTATCAACTAGTAAACTTAAATTACTTGGAAAGTATGCTTATCATAAATTCCTTATCCTGACCACTGTTGAATTATTGAGCTGTTGTGTCGTTTGTGTTCTTTTCCTAATTGGCATCCAATATTAAAAGACAAACTTTATATACAATGTTAAATAGTAAGCTATTTAAATAGGATATCTTTAATAGGTCAGAATTTTGAAGGAGACTAAAGTTTTGGGCACTCAGGTTTTGGAAGGCATCTTTCCTGGGAAGTTGTCTTAGTTTGAAAGAGCACATTAGTACAGGATTTGGGAACACTCAGGGCTGACAGATTCATAATCCATTACCCTAGAAAGCGAGGTATTTTTATGGCATATCGACTTACCTTTTTAAGATCCTGTCACAGAGAGTAAACATTCCTTCTGTAAAACAGCCTTTGAGGTCTATGTCAAAAATCGGTTATTTTGCCCGGCTGGGCGAGGCTCAGCGGTTGAGCGTCAACCTAGGATCCAGGTGATTGGGGTTCGATTCCCGGTCAGGGCACATGCCTGGTTGTGGGCTTGATCAATGACTCTCTCATCATTGATGTTTTATCTCTCTCTCTCCTTTCCTCTCTCTGAAATCAATAAAGATATATATATATATTTTAAAAAGGTTATTTTTCACCCCCAACTGTTTTTGAGCGGCTTCCCCACACAGGATGCTTGGTGGCTTGTAGAACTCCAATAAGACATGGTCCCCATCCTCCAGGAACTTACCCTTCCAGAGAAAATGAGATATGTACAAATTATCATTCCCGATGTCCTGTGTACCTAATATTATGTGGTTTGTTTTATGTTCTTAATTTTTGGCTTCATAAGAATTGGGTAACCATCACTAGAATTGCCTGTTTTAAACTGGTAAAAACCAATTTTGAATATGAATTGAATGTGTTTATTTAGATTTCTGCTCTTTCAACTTCAGTTTCTTAAGCATTGTAAGTATTGTAATTGAATAGTTCTCATATACTTTTATAATAGCTTTATTAAAGAAATCTATAATTTTGGTATAAGTCTTAATTTCAATTTTGATTATGATATGCACATTAAGAAAGGTCCATGCTATAAGAACGTATCTTAAGCCCTGGCTGGTGTGGCTCAGTTGGGTGTCATCCCATGCACAGAGATGTTCCTGGTTCGATTCCCGGTCAGGGCACATGCCCGGGTTGTGGGCTGGATCCCTGGTAGGGGGTGTGCAGGAGGCAGCTGATCGATGTTCCTCTTTCTCTCTCTCTTTTTCTCTCTCTTTCTCTCTCCTCTCTCTCTCCTTCCCTCTTCCTTCCTTTCTCTCTAAAATCAGTAAGGACATATTTGAAAAGAACACATCTTACATGCCTGTATGTTATTTAATATCATATTTGTATTTTATAGGTTATTAAGGAAAGTGGACCCCCACACATGAAAAGCTTTGTCACGCGGGTCTCGGTGGGAGAGTTCTCCGCGGAAGGAGAGGGGAACAGCAAAAAGCTCTCCAAGAAGCGTGCCGCGACCACGGTCCTGCAGGAGCTGAGGAAACTTCCACCTCTCCCTGTGGTTGAAAAGCCAAAATTATTTTTTAAAAAACGCCCTAAAACAATAGTCAAAGTAAGTGTGTGCTTGTGAGCACGAGTCAGCTTTGCTGTGTAAATATTACGGTGACTATAGATGAAAGTGTTTCCCTGGGGCAGGCATCTGACCCAGGCACGTGTCCAGGCC